TTCACTGATCAAGCCTGCATGAGAAAATCCATTTTGAAATCTCTCTCTCTCTCTCTCTCTCTCTCTCTCTCTCTCTCTTTTTTTTTTTTTTTTTTTGAGTTCAGTTTTTTATTTTACTGGCTTGAATTTAAAAAGCCAGAAAATGTTTGAAATGTGTGTCTGCCTGTCAGCTAAGGGCACAACAAGGGCTCAGTTGTGAACATTCTGTGGTTGTGACTGTGTTGTGTTGACATGTCATTCCTAGGCAGATGGGACAAGTCTTGCAAAGATTTTACAACTGGTAACCATAACAAGTTATTAGTAAATAAAGGGTGGGGAATTTTAGTGAGTAAGTGGTCCCTTATGGTTGCTCTTGCTGTTGCAATGTATTGTTGGACTCTCTTTAACACCAGGGCTTTACACTCTAACTTAAATATGATGCCGTAGTTTATACTCTTTTGATGAAAATGTGTTTGTGTACCTCTCTGCAGTATCAGGAGGCACCAGGAGCGACGGGCCATCCTGACACCAATCTTGACTGACTTCTCTGTTCGGGTGACTGCTGCCCCAGCTATCATCTTTAGCAAGAATCTCTCCCCTGACAGCGGACAGTCAGAGGTCAGTATCAACTCAGCACAGTGTGTATGAGTCCAATTGTTTCTGTTAAAAGTCTTCAAGTTTTCTACATGAGTGAATTTATCTGTACAGTTGCAACCTAACTCTAAAATCAAACAATGTCAGTACTTACATTTTTAACATTTAAACATTTTAACATTTAAGTTCAATACCCAGTAGAAGATGACAGTAGCTCCTTGGTTTTAGGGATTTGCCTAAAAAAGGGTTTTATTCAAAATTCACAGTCAGATGCTACATTTTTTTTTTCATCTACTTTGTACAGGTTTGTTCACTACCTAAACTGACTTCTTGTGCCCTTTGACCTTGACCTGTTACAGCCATGATTGCAGCCATTACTCTCACAATCCGTTGTTCATATGAAAATAGACATTGATTATGTGAGATGTCACAAGTATTTACGTTTTGCTCTTAACATACAGTAACTTACTCATTAGGAATCCCTGAGCCAGTCCACCATGTAATGGAGGTTTTTGACCTGCAGAGTTCAAACCTTTCTGCTTATACAGCTGATGTTTTCTGGCATGGCTCTCTGAGATTTCCTGCCTCTTTGATGCCTCGTCCGACCACGCTAACGTGCCCCTTGACAATGCCTAACAGCTAATCCATAGTTTGCACTGAGACACACACACACACACAGACACACACACACACAGTGTGATTTGTTTTACTCCCTTAGATATGGAGACTCAGGGCCAAAAACAACATAAACAAAACAGGACTTTGAACTAGACCAATTTCTGTAATAAAATTCTTATTCATTTTCCACCAACCACTAACTACTTTTAGCTGATTTATGCGTGCTTACTGTGCAAATGTTACAGCTTACTTTATTACAGTATTGATGTATTTTATGTATGTATGTAATTTTTAGTCTATGCTCTCCAGTCTACAGTCTAAATTTTCACACACGTTTGCAGCATATTCTGTAACTATTATTGTAACCTTATGATATTTTGACCATGTGTTACAATCACTACTGCTGCTAGTATGACTACTACTATTAACAATGATTATAATAGACTTAATTTGTTATTATGACTCTAATTTTGAAAAAAAAAGCAAAACAAATTGTGACGTTAATGTTAAACTGGATGTTTAATACAATGTTAACAGTCCTTTTATGTTTTTAAACAGTTGAGTTAAACAGATTATGTTTACACAGCAGTGTCTAATACCATTGTGTGTAGTTACTGTAGGTCTGGCCCATGTGTGTGTGGTTCAACCCACAGTGTCAGTGAGTAATATCCTATTAGATGTAGCCTCCAGGCTGAGGTTTGAACTGCTGGCTGTGGGTGGGACCCTGGAGAGGACAGAGGGACAAGCGGAAGGAGGCACTGGCTTAACTGCAATAGCCGAGATAGAAAGTCAATTGACAAAGACTATACAAGTTAAGAAAGAGGAGCAGTGTCTGAGGCCACAATCCTGTTGTTGTTTTGAATGCATTTCCTGCTCTCTCCTCCCACCTCAACTGTTCATTTCCCTGCTGCTTTGCCTCCCTTGTCTCTCTAGGAGGTGGTGGTGTGTGGCCACTCTCTGGAGGTGAATGTGACCAGCAGTCTGGATTTCTACCTCAGTATTGCCCAGGTGCAGCTCCTTCAGCAGCTTCTCAGAGACAACATGGTGGGCATGGACGCCCCAGAGAAAAGTGCTGAGGTACATGGTTTAATCACAAATGTTAGTACGAATGCACATAGGTATATGCATGATTGCATTCAAGTCAAGGGGGAGTCGTGATTCTCTTGTTGATATTTTACTAGTTAGCAAATTTAGATTGTTAGCATGTGTGTCTCCCCTCCACCTCCACCTCCCCTGTCTTGTGCACAGAACTCGCTGGAACGGTGTTGTGTTGATCGGTCCTAGACACTTTGTTTGTTTCCCATTTACAGACCCAGGGCTATGTAGAAACACTAGATTTTTTTTCAGTGCGCACACAAAACAGACAGTTGTTGGACCACGAGGACTGAATTTGACAACAGAGGTAGTAGATTAGATTTGCTGATTTTACCTTGAGCAAAGCTACATACATGGAATGAGCTTAACTAAACACACTATATCTTTTTTCAGTCAGTCAGTAAGTAGAACTCTAAAGTCATTTGACAAAATGTGCTAGTTAATAATTTTTCAGCGCAGCATGGTTTTCCATTTTGAGTTGTGATGCATTCTGAAGTTAGCTTATTATATTCACACGCTCACACCCCACACACTGGCCCCAAGATCACCTCTCTTGTTGACGCATTTAATGGCTTGTTAATTTTTATGGAGTACCACAACTTGACATAAATCCATTTAGGAATCATTGAAAGGGGCAATGCTAGTTTTGCGCAAACATCCATCAACATCACTTTCCTGATTCTGTGCCCCCATCTGTCGCCCCTGACTATTCTGGGTGAATCCAGCACATTTAAATATTTACTCACTCTGAGCAAGGCAGTTCTCTAATGTGGCCTTAGTTTACTGTGCTGTGCTCAGCTGCAGCTTTCAGGGCCCTTCCTATTGTTTACAGGACAGGGAGCTCCCAGGCGCCATTTGCCCCGTCTGACCGCTTAATGAAGCTTTCTAATGGAACACAATATAAAAATATTTACCAGCTGTGGTGAGGATGGGAGTCATAGATGAGGAAAAGCGACAGGGAAGAGAAGAAGCGAGGGAAAGGAATTAAATGAAGTGAATGTCTTAATGTTATCTCCTCTTGAGATTCTTTATGGGAGGCTGTGTACTGAAGTGCAGTGACTGCGTCAGATGACTCAGATCCCATGAAGCCTTCTGTAGCATGATGTTGGCTTATTCAGACAAAAAAAACCCCACTGTGCATAGGTACAGTCATTGCATTTTGCAATGATACCAACAGTATACAATCTAGCATGGATTAACACAGTCCTATGGAAACAAGTGAGAGAAAGGCACAAGCTGAAATTGTCTTGCTTCTTTAATTTTTCTTTTATTTTGTCATTTGCACAGTTAGACCTAGGGAGGTGCCTGTTGTGCATCTGGTCTTGATTTGGGTGATCTCTGAGCCCTCACCCCTGACTTGTAATGATTCATGGCTTGATTCTGTTGAGGGGCAGCTAACGGCTGCAGAGGGTTCATTCAGGTTCAAGGCAGGATGAGAAACTTCAGCAGCTATTGTGGGAGGTCCTTTGGCAACAGTTTGAAAATTAGAAAATGTGCCTCAAAAAAGCATTAAGTTTCACCATTTATAAAAGGTAATTTAAACTGAATTCATCGCTTTTTTTTCTTCTTCATACATTCATTTTTTTCAAAGAAATGTAAACTTAGTATTTACTTTCTAACTTTGTAAGCAACACCTTTCCTCACAACACACTCCCACACATGTTCTGAAACCTTTCTGTGTGATTTCAGTTTTCTATGTGTTCGCACTGAGCAGTTCCAGCTGGACGAACTTAGGAGTATTGCTCCAGGACACTGTGACAGTAGCTGCTTAGGGTTATATTTTTCCCTTGCAGTTTTTTCCCAATTTATACAAGGGTGGGAACTATTAACTTTTTGTGCAAAAAAAAAAAATCACATCTAACTTCTGTTTTATTGCTGCCTTCAGCTGGATTATTGAAATTGAAATTACCCTCAGGTCCAGAATGATCTAATATAATAATCAGCCATCACTTACTGAGAAATTAAGACTATCTGCTTGGGAAAATACCCCTGCTTTTTATTTCGTTGTAATTTTGTTGCTCACAGTTGTTGGAAGGTCTCTGTCTTTCACTTTTTACTGTTAAATATGTAGTATTAATTTCAGGTATATTATACCATGGTCCTTACTCATTAGCTTTTATAGTAGTGAAATTATAGAGCGTAACAGTATCGTTAACACTGAGGTCAGTCAGTGTGTCTTCACCTCTGTGCAGCTGCAGAACATGAAGGTTACTCTGAATAAATGTGGTCTGGCTTTGACTTCTTGGACACTGTCTGTAAAACTATTTGTACCTCCATCTATCTCAGTTTCGTAAGTCTTTTGGCGGCTGCATCTGTCCGGCTGCTTGGCCCTGCTGCAGGGAGGTCAGTATGACTAAGACATGGTTGGGTCTGCTGTGTTCTCGCCAGTAGGAGCCCATTCTAAAAGCTACAGAGCCCTCTAGTGGCGTGTTTGACTGCTGTATTGTGTGATTCCTTGCTCAGATCCCAGCTCCTGTTGTTCGCAGACTGCTCTGCCAAGCAGCCTGTCTACCTCTTGCCAATACATCAGACACAACTCCATCAAGCAGTATCAGTATTGTGTATTAGATTGGAACAGGTATTGGGTTTTGATATTATTAGAACAGACTAACTGGATAGAATAAAACAGATGCCTCTCCACCCCCTGCTAACAGGTTACAAATGATAATCATAAAGTTAAGATGTATGTCCATCACCAGATTCCACAATATCAGAATATAGATTTAGAACACATATCTGTTTTTTAAGTTCAATCCCAGCGTCAGTAATGATATTTATAGAATTTGACTGTTTTGTTTGTACTTCCTTTATACAACCTGTTCAGTGGATTCAATTAAAAACAGGTCCTGAAACTCCAGCATCTGGTGCAAGGGAATTGTTTTTGTTGTTGTGCCTCAATAAAGCATCTCTGCTCTCACAGTCAGCACTGTCCCTAGCTAGAGTTTAAATTAAACATTGCTCCTTACTCACTCTCTCTTATTTCCAAATCCTTTGCTCTCATTTTTTTTTCTTTTTCACATGCTGTTTGTCTTGAACAGAGTCTCCAGAATCCCAGGGACTGATTTCAAACAGTTCCCATCGCCCCTCACAGCTGTGTTTTATTGTCTGGGTTAATGAATTTGTTTTGTAGGGGCTTTTGGGTTCCCTGGCAGTGGTGAGGCGAGCCAGGCGCGTGGGCAATGTGTGCAGGCATTGTGGGTTGACACTGAGATGTGCTCTTATAGAATCTGTACACGCACGCTCGCATGCACACACACACACACACACATACATACACACACGCATATTTATCATGGCCTTTCCATGCATGCATACTAATTTTAGATTGTTTTTTTCTTACATCTGTGACATATATCGTCTAATTATCCATTGCAGCCAGGTGTTCACAGTTTACACTTAAGTTGTTACTGAGATGCAGAGCAATTGTGAGCTGATTTCTAAGCGCTCCATATGCAAATGTGTTGCTGTCTAAATCAGTGCATTATTAGGATGTTTAATGCAGCATTAGCTATGGCCCATCACAGTTTGACTTCATGTCAGATTTTTTTGGTTCACGATGATGATAAAGTGAAGCTGGATTCAGATTAAGCAGCTTTCAGCAGCAAGAGGTCCCACAACCAGGGAGCTATGAATAGATGATAGAGAAGTTTCTGGGAGTTATCTCACTGCTATGTCATCAGCAGTGTCACCCAGCAACACAGACATGCAGACCTTCACACACACATGTTTGCACACACGCACTCATACATACACATGGTCCCCACATTCTCTGCATGGTAACCATCCACAGCCTTGATTTGGGAGCCAGGACTGTAATACTTTTTTACGACTGAACAGCTGACCTGTGGTGTTTGTGTGTTTGTATTCTTTGTGTCATCTCTGCTATGACGTCATTTGTTCTTCAGAAACAGAGTCAGAGAAGTTAATGACTTTGTGTGAAAGTATACAAGTCTGTCATCTTCCTGACAGCTTCTCATTGCCAGTCTCTCTTCTCTCTTAAACACTACTTCTTCCTCCGCACACACACCATATCATTTTCCTTTTTTTACCACCTCACTGTCATCCATTCCCTTCTAATCTCTCATCACTGGCATCCTGGTCTGTCAGTCATGCAATTGCTACAATTATAAGGACACAAATTACGCTAGCAATGTCTCAACAAACTACTAAAGAGCGAGGATGCAAAATACTTTGTGAAAATGATGTCCCTTATCCGATGTTGGTCTTGCTCACTCTCTCTCTGACACACACAGAGGCAGCCTGGGTCAGCCTCGTACCACAGTGTGAGAGGAAAATACCCTCTGGTGCAGGGGAAGTCCCGCTCGGCTTCATCCTCCACCTCATCCTGGGATGATTACACGCATGGGAAACAGGGCTTTAGACTTCCTCCAACACTCATACGCACACACACACACTGATGCCAGTGCACACACAGGCATGCTCTGGCAGTACACTGGTTCAGGAGAAGGTATCAGGCATCACAGGAACCTCTGAATTATAGTTTTTAGTAAACACACATGTGGAAAACCTCTCAATCACCCGTTCCCTGCCTTATCTCTATTCTCTCTCCCCCTGCTTATCTTTCCTTTTCCTTTTCCTTTTTGGTGAAAGCATGATGCTATATACAGCACTATCTCCCACCGAAACTCTCTTACCTTCTCAATCTCCTGTGTGTTTCATCCAGTTCCTCTCACATCCCCCTTTTTAAAATCATTTTCCTTTCTTTTCAGTGCTCTTTGTCTTCCCACATTCATTTCTTTTTTCCTCATGGGACTGGCACAGCTCCTGGTTGGAAGAGTGTTGGCCCTTCCAAAGCTGACTAGTCACATAGCTTGCTGGCCAATAGTGAAGAGGGTTGCTTCTCTGGAGATAGAATAGACAGATAGAATTTGACAGTTTGTAGATTTTGATATTACCCGACTGTTATATCTGCGTAGTCTTAAATGCCTGTCCTAAGGAGACACATGGGCTGCACTCTCACG